ATTGCGGCGTGGCCATCCCTCCTGGGGGGTGATTTCTCGCTTTCTATCTCTGTCTCTCTCTGTCTTTCTGGCGAGCACAGGCGCCCTGAAGGAAACACCTCTCCAAAAAAGGAAAAATAAAAAAAAAAAAAGAAGAAAACCACAAAAAAATTAAAGGTCTACATAAATGAAATGACTTTTCATGTTCATGGATGAAAAGGCTTAATATTATTAAAATAACAATACTACTAAAGTGATCTACAAATTCAAGACGTCTGAATAAAAAATCCCAATGCTTCTTTTTGCAGGTGTGAAAAAATCATCCTTAAATTCATTATGAAACTACAAATAGCATAAACAAATAATTAAATCTTAGAAAGGAACAAAGTTGGAAAACTCTTGATTACAAAACTTACTACTAGACAGTATGGTACTGACATAAGGACAGACATACAGAACAGAAATAAACCCTTCTATCTATGATCCGTTGATTTTGACAAGGGTGCCAGCACCACTCAACAACTGGTGATAGAACAATTGAACTTCCATATGCAAAAGTATGAAGTTATACCCCTACCTCACAATGTGAGCAAAAAATAAACTTACATGGATCAAAGATCAACTACTGGGTTATCAGAAAAGTCATGATGTATTTGTTTGGTTTTCTATGCAAAAATGCAACATTACTTTTCCAACAACCCAATAAAAGGATAAAACTATAAAACTCTTAAAAGAAAATAGAGATAAATGCTCATGACCTTGGATTTGAGGAAGGATTCTTAACTATAATACCCAAAGTATCAGTAACAAAAGAAAAAATAAAATGGACTTTACCAGTTTGTGTGTCAAAGGGACACTATCAAGAGAGTGGAGAGACAGTCCATAGAATGAGAGAATACATACACAAATCATATATGTGATAAGGACTTGAATCAAGACTCTATTAAAAACCCTTACAACTTAACAAAAAGTCAAACAGCACAATTCAAAAATGTGAGGAAGGACCTGAATAGATATTTCTCCAAAGATATATGTATACTGATAAGGACATGAAATGATGTTCAACATTAGTCATTGATGCAATTAAACCAAATGAGATAACACTTCACACCCACCAGGATGCCCAGAATTTAAAAATGTTTAAAACAAAAAGAACAAACTTTGGAGAGGATGTGGAGACAGTGGAGTCTTCACATGATACTGGTAATATAAAATGGTTCAGTCACTGTGAAAAAGTTAGGCAGTTCCTCAAAAAGTTAAACACAGGGACTGGCTCTCCAGTGCAACAATAATGTGCTACTCAAGAGAAGCTTGATCACACGTGGCCCAAGTGCCCAATATCCAATGGCCTGGACAACTGGAGGAATGGGATCACAGTGTGATCAGACATTATGGGGGTGCTCATGTCTCCGTCTCCCTCTCTCTCTTTCACATGCCTGTACATGTGTTCTATCACAAGTAAAGAAGAAGTAATTAAATATGTAATTACTATATGACCCATCAACTCTACCCCATTCCCAGGTAGATCCTCAAAGAGTTGAAAACAAGTGCCCAAGTAAAAATTTGCACACATATGTTTGTGCAACTATCCACAACAGCCAACAGATAGAAACAACCAGATGTTCGTGAATGGATGAATGGATAAAATGTGATGTTACCAACACAAAGAAAAATTATTTGGCTGTAAAGAGGAATGAAAGACTGACACATGCTATAACAAGTACAGATGTTTAAGGCATGAAAGAAGCTAGACACAAACAACTACATGGTGTATGAGTCCACTTATATTAAATATACAGAACAGGCAAATCCGTAGACAGACAGCAATTGCTGACTGCCAGGGATTGTGGGGAAGGAAAAAATGGGGAGTGACTTAATGGGTAGGAGTTTGGGTTTAACGGATGAAAAGTTCTGGAACCAGATGGGGTGATGTTGTGCAACACTGTAAATGTGCTCAATGCCACTGAAACAAACAGGATAAAATAGTTAAAATGGTAAATTTTATATTATGTGTATTTTAATTGCCAGAACATGTGTGCTTGTCAGATATGTGGTGGGAAAGCACTCTACAATGGGGTGTAGTCACAAGAAGAAGGAATAATCTCTTCTCTGTTTTTCCAGCCTTTCAGGATTTGGGGCACACATGCATACATGCTCTATGTGTTTTTCAAACAACCTCCGGGGCTGGGATTCAAACTGGAGTTGGTCATGTGGGATGCAGCTCCCTTAACCTCTGTGATATATTATCTGTAATTTTACCACAATAAATACGATAGCAATAAAAAGCAGGCATCATTCATCAAACTCCCTCCTGCCATTCCCCCAAAAGACTATAGAGGGTTAAAGTGAGGGTTCATATAGAGACCTGGATGAGAGGCACCATCCTGGAATGGGGGATGAATGAATCTTCCCATACTGACAACTCACTCTTCTCCACTCAACTTCTCAAGTAAGAAAAGATATTGAAGAGCCCTTCTTGGGAACTCTAAGTCCCCTCCCCACCCACCCCCCCAAAAATCAAAGGTTGAAGTTTTCTCCAGGAATCCAACTAGTGAGTCCTATCACCCAACAGTGATATGACGAACTCATGTCACAGACCTTCCAATGGGTCTGCAGCATCCCACACTCAGACAGGAAGTGCAATCACAACCACCCAACATTCCAGGAAAGAAAGAGGCAAAAGAAGCAAACATGTGGCCAGGGAGGAAAATGAGAAGATACTGCATTTATGATTAAGAACATGTTCTAGGGACCAGCAGGTGGAATGATGGTTGGGGTGCTGGACACTCCCACATGGCCAACTATGGTTCAAATCCCGGACCTGGTGGCTCGCTTTCTCACTTTCCCTCTCTCCCTCTCTATGTCTCTCTCTGGTCAAATTAAAATATGTGAATGAATCAATAAAAAGTTAAATAAATAATTCTTAAAAAAAAAAAAAAGAACATGTTCTAAATTCTAGAGGAGGAACAAAAGTTTTGAGAATTGTCAAATATCATGACCAAATTAAAATGCTAAATAGATGAGTGGGAAAAAAAGATTGAGGGAATCTAGAAAGTGGAACTAAAAGACAAAAATGGAAAACGGAAGAAAAACAAGTATGAAACTAGCCCACAAGGTCCAATGTCCAAATAACAGTATTTCCAAAACACACAAAAAAGACAAAACTAAGGGGGAAAAAAGTAAATAAAGAGGAAATTCTTAAAGAAATAATTTGAGAGAATTCTTCAGAAGTAATCATCTGGAATTTCCAGACGTAAAGGAACCATGAAGTAGCCAACAAAACAGGTGAAAACAGACTAAATACGTGATGGTGCTACACACGGAAGACTCAGAGTAAAACTAGACTATACAGGGACCAGCAGTTAGCGTAATGGCTATGTCGCTGGACTCCCATGTAGTCGACTGCGGTTCGACTCCCAGACCCGGTGGCTTGAAACATGTCGGGCACATGTGCATGCGTGACCAAGATCCAGAGAAGAGAATGAAGGAGAAGGGATTATGGTGTGGCCATCCCCCTTAGGGGGTGATTTCTCACTTTCTGTCTCTCTATCTGGCGAGGGCACACGCCCTATAGCAAAAACCTCTCCCTTCCCCCCCCCCAATAAAAAAACTAGACTGCATACAAAGGACTCAATACAAAGATGCACAATCAGAGCAACAGAGCATTTCAACAATACTGGACGCCTAAAAGACAAAAAGAAAGAGTTTTTAACTTGGAATTACACAGCCAAATGTACCTACAATGATTTGTAAGAGGAGAATAAAGTTACTTTCAGACAAGCAAAGCGTTCAGGGATAAATAACAACAACAATAATAAAAACCAATTGAAGGCCTAAGAGCCTCAGGCCCACACCTGCAAGGTAGATGAGGATGAAGCAGTGCTGTGTCTGGGGGACAGTATTGGTAGTTTCCGTGCCCCCACCCTATTGCAAGGTGCTGGATTTATACAACCCCAATACATCTAGTCTAGGGCCTAGGATTTTGAAGGTGCTTACATGAGCGGCTGTGGCAGGAGCCCAAGTGGGGAACTCCTGAGATTCTGAAGCTTAAAAATGCAGAGCTAGGAGGCCAGCAGGGGGCCTGGTGATCAAGGCACTAGACTCCCACACAGCCATCCATGGTCAGAGTCCCAACGGCTTGAAAATCACGCCAGGTGTGTGTGTATTCGTGCCCAAAATCCCGAAAGAGAGTGGAGGAAACCTGACTGCCTCAAGGCCATCCCCCTGGTGGGTGTTTTCTCACTTTCCCCTTTTTGTCTCTCCAAGGCGACTGCACACGCACTAGGGCAAAACAAAAACAAAGCACCAGGCAGGGCCAGAAAGCCCTTCCTCACGTGAAGACCCCCTCATTCCGACATCTATTGTGGACCCCTACACAACCAGGCTCTCACCAAAACACTTTTCTGTGCCCTTCTCCTGATCCTGCGAACTAACCCTAGCCCGCGAGAAGCTGCGCACCTGCGCCGCCTGAGCAGCGACCGTCCACAAACACCGGGCGCGCGGGGTGGGGGGACGCACCTGCCGACACCTGCTAGGTTCAGGACTCGCGCGGCGGCGGGCGTTCTGTACCTGCGCGCCCGTCGGGGATTTGGGGGGCGGGGGTGGGCCGAGGAGCTGCGGACGTAGAACCAAGGAGCTCGAAGCCAAGATTGGGGAGGCGGGTGGAGCGGGCTAGGGCCAGGGGGCCTCGATGGCAGAGGAGCTCGCGGGAGCTTGGAGACCCTAGCTCGCCGAGGGCTGGTGGTCTCGGACCCAGGGACCGGGAACAGAAACTGCCTGGCCAGGAAGTGGGGCGCATAAGCAGCTGGGGATGAGAAGCAGCTCCAGGCGGACGGGCGGGGTCGAAGCGTGAGCCCAGGCCCGCGGCCGTTGGCGGCCCAGGCCGGGCCCGCAATTCGGCCTGCCCCCTTCCTGAGGGACATCTTCGGCGTCCCTCCAACCACGGCGTCTCCCATGGCCCCAGGGTCCTCAGGCCCCGACCCGGGAGCCCTCTACCCCAGTCCGGCACGCCGGGTACTCACCTGCCTCGCGCCGCCGCACCAGGCCTGGTCCGCACCGCCCAGGCCCGGCCCGAGAGGATACCCTGCCAGCGCCAGCCAATCGAGCGCCACGCCCGGGGCCAGAGGCGGGAGCAAAACAGACGCTCACCAATCCCGAGCGCGCCACCTGAAGCTCCCAGGCCAATGAAGAGAGGGCTACGGACCGCGGCTAAGGAGCTGGGCGGGCGTCGGGCGGGGGAGAAAGAGGGGGAGGGGCCGGAGAGAAGCGGAGAGAAGGTGGGCCCGCATCTCAGCGGCTGGCGCGTCTCAGCGAGGGGCGGTACCTCGGTGAAGGGCAGCATCTTGGGAAGGGGTCTGCATCTCAAGGGTGGGAGCGTTTCCTCCGGGACTGGACCTTATCTCCAAGCCGCATTTCTGGGTTGGGCCTCGCGGTGTCCTAGGCACCGTTGCGCTTTTCAGGCTGTGGTCTGCTGGCCAGCACGAGCCTCTGCTCTGCACCCTTTACCCCTGAGACCACAACAGTCAGACCATCTCTTTGGTCCCAGCCAATGGGTCCTTTCTGTCCACGTCCCGGCTGAGCCCCTCCCCTGTGCCGGGGCGCTGGAGAAGCAGCCCCAATTCCCGCGGAGATAGGGAGCCCACTAAAGCGTGCTCTATGCAGCTGCCCCCACGGCTTACCTCACTTGCTCCGCAATCTTCAGTGTCCACCCGCGTGTCCACCATTAGGGCAACGCGCCCTTCCAGTGTGCGCCTCTTGTAGCCTTGGCAGGCACGCGGTAGGCCTGGCACCTGTCAAACCAACAGTCTACGGGGTCCTCCCCAGGCACCTGCCCACGCCTCTACTGCTTCCTGCCTTTTGTGGGATGTAAGTGGAGAAATATGTAGGTGAGCCTTCTGACCCGAGTTCTAGAAGATTAAAAGTCCAATCTTACCTTTGTGAAATTTGCAGGTTCCCTTTCCCACATGCACTAGGCTACACTGTGTATTGCAAACATTGCTTTGTTCTTTATAGCTTTTAAGTATTATTTACATACAATTTTCACCTTTAAAAAGTGGTGGGTTTGATGTGCTTTGACAAATTCATAGTTGTGTGACTGCCACTACAATCAAAATAGAGAACATTTCCCTTACCCCCAAATGTCCCCTTTTCTCTTTGCAATCACTAACCTCTCTCCACCCACTAAATTGTTTTCTGTCTTACAGTTTTACCTTTTCCAGAAAGTTACATAATAGAATTATGCAGGAAGTAGCTTTTTGAGATTGTCTTCTTCACTCAGCCTAGGGCTTCAGAGTTCCTCATATTGTCTCTCATAGTTCTTTCTTATTGCTGAGTACATCTATTGGACAAGTGTTTAAAATCTGTTTATTCACACCATTCACTAGTAGAGGGGTTGGTAAACCTTTTCTGTAAAGGCCAGACAGCAAATATTTTAGGCTTTGCAGGCCACACCATCTCTGGCAAGTACTCAAGTCTACGTTCCAGGAGCAGTCAGACACTACAAGGAATGGGCATGCTTGTGTCCCAGTTAAAACTATTTACACAGACAGGGTCAGCAGGTGGCATGGTGGTTAATGTGCTGGACTCTCCCACATGGCTGGCCATGGTTTGAGTCCTAGACCTAGAGGCTTGCTTTCTAACTTTTCCTCTGTGTGTGTGTGTCTGGTCAAATTAAAATAAATGAATGAATAAATACAATTAAACAATTATTTTAAAAAATTTACACAGACAGACAGCTGTCTGGACAGACCAGTGGGCCATAGTTTGCTAGTTGGGTGGACTTTTGGGCTATTTCCAGTTTTCAGCTATTATGAAAAAATTCTCGATAAACATTCACAGGCAGGTTTTTGTGTAGACATTTCTCTTTGATATAGCTCTTTGGTTTTATGATCTAGTTCCCACGTTTCTCTCATACATAAACTTGATTTTCAAAATAGAGCATTAGCTTTGATGGCCTTTATGTTGCTGTTACAACCTTGAATTAGATCTATTGTTAAAAATGTCAAATCTGTTTTGGGGGAAGATTTAAAAAAATTTTTTGAGACATTTTTGCTATAGGGTGCGTGTGCTCGCCAGACAGACAGAGAGAGACAGAGAGACAGAAAGAGAGAAATCACCCCCCAGGGGGGATGGCCACGCCGCAATCCTTTCTCTTCCATTCTCCTCTTAGGATCTTGGGCATGCACACACACACGCCTGGCGTGAGTTTAAGCCGCCAGGTCCGGGACTTGAACCGCGATCGACTACATGGGAGTTCAACGTCATAGCCATTTCGCCAACTGCTGGGGGGGAGGGAAGATTTTGACAGATAGCTGTGCCCTTTCTCCACCCACAGCCCATTGGCCAGGTCTCTCTCAACAAGATGGACATTTGGGTATTAGAAGGCCCCCTGAGGGAGCCAATCTCCACCCTGTTCACAGCACAGCACCCTGCAGGGCCTCGATCTGTGGAGCACGTTAAGGAAGGGACAAAGTTAAAGAAGCAGGCTAGAGCCAGCACCTTGATGCAGCCATAGTGAGCTGCTCAAGAGAAGCCAGATTCCCCATGGCAGCCATGGTCCAAATCCCTAGTCTGGTGAGCACGAAATGCTATGCATGCGAGTGAGTGCCCAAGATCTGACAGGTGAGAGGACTGAGAGAAGCGGATCATAGCACATCCAGACCCTGTGGAGGGTGCTTTCCCCACCTCCTATGTGTACACACATACGTTCTGTCATGAATAAAAGGAAAAAAAAGTTTGGGCAAAATAAAACAAGCAAGAGGGCTGGGACTTCGTGCCCCTTCAGCACAGCCTGGGTCTGTGTTCCTCTGTTGGCCACTGTTCTTGCTTCAAAAGAGGATGCTGATGGCATGGTGTACTTCCAAATGTCTGTCCCTGAGCTTCTTCCCCATCTTTCCAACACCGATGAGCAGTACAATATAGCCATTGCTATTTCACAGTGAGGGAAACTGAGGCAAAGCCCATACCAACAGCCTGGCTGGAGTGAGGCCACTGTCTACGCTGAAGCATTGCGGGCAGCAGACATTGGTTTTACAGAGCTCCCGGGAAGTAGTAGTTCTTCTCTGTGAGCTCACACCTCAAACTTGGCAGCAGGTTCTGCCTGTCAGTTGTAAACAGAACCCGACTCCTGAGAGAGGAGCAAGAAACTCAAACTCAGGGCTTTGTGCCATCTGGATGATGGTGTCTGTATGAGGATCAGAAGGCAGGGCCAGTAGAAAACCAGGTAAAGGAAAATTACCCAGTTGATCTCTGCCAGGGCTCAGGAAATCCCTTTCTCTCAACTACTCTGCATGCTGATTCTCTGTCCTGCTTGCTTCTGGTTCCTGCTTTAGGTGGGAACTGGCCACAAGGGAAGTGGTTTCTGCCCTGGTTGTACCCTGCGGCCAGAAAGGTGGCCCCTTGTCCTGGGACAGTGTCAGGGTGTGTGAGTCCGTAGGGACTAGTAAAAGGAACAACATGCCAAAGAGCTACACAGTGCCCTCTTCAACCAGCATTTCCAAAATCCACACACAGCTGTTCCTACTATTGACAGTTCTGTCTTTGTTTTGAGTCAACCTCTGTCCCTCAAGCAGCAGTCAAGAAAGTGACTGAGAGGCACCAATCCTTGCCTTTGTAAGAATGGAGAATGTCTGCAACAGGGGCATGCATTGTGTTTCCGCCGTGGGGGAACTCAGTGAGACTGACCATAAGTGGTGAGACTCAAACCGGCTCCAGGGCAAGGGCCTTGTCTCTTTCCATTTCTGGTGGTGCCAGGCATCCTTTGACTTGTGGCTACATCACTCCCTTGCCTGTTTCTGCCTTTGCCTGGCCTTCTCTTATTCTGTCTTTCTCCTTTTATAAGGATAATGTCATTGCATTTAGGGTCTACCCTAAATCAGGAGAATCTTTTTTGTTGCTGTGTTTGGAGAGGTTTTTGCTATAGGCTGCGTGTGCTCACCAGACAGACAGACAGAGATAGAGAGACAGAAAGAGAGAAATCATCCCCCAGGGATCTTGGGCATGCATGCACACATGCCCGATGTGAGTTTTAAGCCACTGGGTCCAGGACATGAACCGTAGTCAACTACATGGGAGTCCATCGACATAGCCATTACTCTAACTGCTGGTCCTGAGAATCTTGAGATCTTTACCTTTATTACCTTTGCAAAGACCCTTATTTCAAATGAGGTCATATTTAGAAGTTCTGAATATGGAACACACCTTTTAGGGGCTGCTATTCAACCTTTTACAGTTGATTAGCAAACCTACTAAGAGACATCTTGACCTCCTCCCCAATTCTTCCATCCTAAAAACAAAACACCTCCCAAATTCCTCCTTACCTATGTCTTTATTTCTCTCTCTGGAGACCATCCTGAGCATGCCATCATAACTCTTATTATGGTTACCAGTCACTCCAATTCGCTGAAGCCCATGGTTAGTTCTCAGACCTCATGTTAGGGTATTTATAGGTGTTTGATCTTGACTACCCTCCTCTTCTCTACACCCTTCACTCACTGACTAGCAGGAACTCTCTGGCTCACCTGTCCTGAGGCTCCTTGTCATCTTCCTTGCTGGTTCTCCCTTGTCTCCCTTGTTCTCCCTTGCCTCTAGATGTGCAAGAGTTCAGGGCTCATCCTGGATACCTTCTTTCTACTGGGTAACTGGGAAAGTCAGGACACCTTCTTGCATAGGAAAATATGCCATGACTTTCCCGATGACCTCATACATCCCCTCTACTTCCAATACGATCCATAAACAGATGACCCCCAAGTTTATATCTCTAGACAGGAACTGCCCCAAACTCTGTTCTTTTGCCTACTCTCCATCTTCTCACGTATCTCATGGCTTCTCCAATTTAACATCTTCCAATTGGAGCCCCCAACCTCACCCCAGACCTGCTCCTACTCTGGTCTTCCTCACATTGGCCAAAGATGATCTGCTTTTCCCCACTCCTCCCAAATCCTCTCTGCTCTCCTTGCTCCTCAAGTCAAAATCTTGGGGCTTTCCTCAACCCCTCTCTCAATCACACATCAGCAAAGCTTTGGCTCTACCTCTAAAATAGACCCAAAATCTGAGCATGCCTCTCCCCCAGGCTGCACCAATCCTGGCCCACCCACCACCAGTCCTG